TGACGTTCAGGGAGCTCTCCTGACAGTCAGAAGGGCGAATATCAAGGAGAAGTGAAACGTTCTGATACGTTGAACGCGAACTCTTCCATAATCGTCTGGGAGTCTCTCATCCAGGAGCGTTATTTCCGCACCTTGTGCGTTCATTCATTTGGCATCCTGCCAGTCCGCTATTCATCATTTTCTTCCTGATGGCTTCAGTTTCGTTTTCATGTTCTTAGCGTGTTTCTAAGGACATTCAGTTTCGAACATTTTTCACCATCAGTAATTTCTTATCCCTAGAATCTTCAATGTTCAAAGAACGTCTTACAATATGAATGGGGACACATGGGAGCTTGGGAAACGCGGAGGAAATGTTATGGACGGAAGATAATCGTTCTAACAAAACACATTGAAGCTTCGGCGATTGATATGTCTCATGAATGGGGCGTGGGATTAAACGATGCTGCGGGAAGCTAGATTGGTTCAGCAACGGGGGTTGTCTTGGACATGAAGTTCTTTTTCAAACAACCTATCCTGCAGTGTTCCTACTTGATCACACGACCTGGGCTGTTCAGAACATAGAGTGCATAAAGCATTCCAGTGAAAGACTAACCTGAAAGGATCCTCTCATCGTTTTATGGTTTTCAACACATACCTGATTTATTCGGGTAAAGTCGTCAATCATGGAACTATTTTAACTCTTTCACTTTCATTGTTAGAGAATATTGACGTATTATTTTTGAACTAAGAGGTATCCCTCTATGTGAGGCGCCTACATCGTGTAAGCCAATGGGTCAGTTGGGGTTCGATTGATAGTACCGCTATCGTCAAGGACAGTGAAGCGAAAAAAAAACGCGCTTCTCTGACTCACTTGGATAAATGAAAGTGGGCAAATAATTAGCTAGTAAGTTGTAGTTATCAGTCATCATTACAGCCTGACTCTTATGCGTGAGAAGTGCAGAGGTCATAGGAACAAGCTTGGTTTCATATTCATGTTGCCCAGTAAAGATGTGTGCGCATAAACTTTAATTTTAGTTTTATATTTTTTATTAAGTTTTATGCAGAACTTATGCTGTTTAGATAGCTCCAATGACCAGGTCCGTGTGCCAAATGTTATCGCACTGGTTGGCTTGCCAGCAAGAGGGAAGACGTACATATCCCATAAGCTATGTCGTTATTTGAACTGGATTGGAATTAAAACGAAAGGTGAAATCTCCGCTTTTTATGGCACCATTTTTTAATTGGCCGTGCATGCTGTCGCCCGTGAATTTCATTGCGATTGTGTTCATACTTTGCGTAAGCGTTTTGAGCGTGCTCTCAAAAATTTACTAGTCTACTTTCGCGTAATTCCCTTTTCGTTCAAAACGCTGTCGCACGCTCAAAACGTGGACGCAAAGGGTGTGTGCACTCTTAGAGAGAAGGAAACGGTGTATCGATTGGTAGAAACCTACTCTTCTTCCTGTCATTTCCTTATTAACTTCCGAACGCACATCTCCTTCAACGATACTATTTCTATATACTTGTCCCACAAGCTGCTTTTTTCCACAGTTATTCACTTTTTAGAGAAATTGTTAACATTGTCAAACCATTGCCCTGTTTGTGGTACTGTATGACCGATGCGCTCTTACCTTAATGGTGGCTACTCAATTGGTTTTTTTTCATATTTTTTTTCTCAAAAACGGTCAACGCGTGCCCATGGCCATTTAAGGGGAAGTGTACCGATGTGGAACAGTGAGTCCTAATCACCGTTGAAATGAAAAGCAATGGAATTCGAGGAATGATTTTCGAGAAAAACCTCAGATTCTGTTTTATTGCCACCAAGACATTGCCACCAAGACACAGTTTAATGCACGAGGACGATGGCAAGATAATGGATATGACAGCCATTATAAGAGCCATTGAATTTTGATTGGCGCACGTGTGGAGAAAACAGCAGAAATACATTCAACTACGCGTAAAAGAAGGTCCCATCACACCTCAGACGCACGAGCATCCTGCTCTGCTCACTAGGAATGCTGCCTAGGTCGAAGTGGCCATTTGTAATGAGACATGAATTACGGCGCGCGTTTTTGGAGTGGTAGTTTGACCCCCTCACACGAACATGACCCTCGCCTAGCGCGAAAACGCTTGTGCTGAGCGTCCCGAACACCGGGCACCCTAGCCTTCGTTTAGTTCATGATGCGTTCAGACGTGATAGTAACGGCACACACACACGTTTTCAAGCAAGTTTAGGCAAGGATTGGTGTCGAGGTGACGTTATAAACACTTTTTGCCTTGTTTCTGCAGGAATCAAGAAAATTAAGCATTCTAGGATCCGATCCCATGATCTGTTGCTTGTTAGACGCAGAGGAAAGAACCTCGTAGCTTAGTTTGGAGAATAGCTCCGCAGACTCGTCCAGGATCTGTGGCTCACATCAAATGCCGCTTCAGCCTGGAGGCCATCCCTTATCAGATCAGTGGTGTGCTGATTATCTCCCTGCGTAGGCATTGCGTTTTGGTCATAGCTCAAGAGCCTTGTGACGATTTCCGCATCGCTAGCTGTGCCAGAAAATCAGCAGTTTTCAATGCAAAACATAGGCTTAGTTACTCCGAAATGATTTGCATTTTCAGCGTTCAACGTTGGAGAATATCGTCGGAAGGCATGTACTCTGGATGTTGGAGGAGAATCCGAGTTTTTCAGTCCGAACAACGTTATAGGCACGCAGATTCGAGAGTGAGGAAACAACTGGTTTCTGCCAGCATCCTTGTCTCGGTGAATTAATTAATGTTTCTCCTTATAGCGAATGCGCTCGTTTGGCTATAGAAGACATGGCACGGTACCTAGATGCCTGTGAGGGAGAAGTGGCGGTGAGTCATTAGCCTCCTTTCAGCCGATCTCTGTAATAGTTTTACCAATACGGGAGTTCTGTTGGGAAACGCCTGTTTCAGATACTGGACGCTACGAAC